TATCTAATTTATGTGTATTCAGATATTCCAAAATCTAAAAAAAAAAAAAAAAAAAAAATCCCAAATCCAAAACACTTGTGGTACCAAGCATTTAAGATAAGGGATAGTCAGCCTGTAGTATATAAAGCTGAAGAGGTTAAGAAGATTTTATTATAAACTGTAACATTAAGAATACATAAAGGCATGGGGTTCTGGCTCAGTGGCAGGGCACTTGCCTTACAAGTATGAGGAAAATAAATAAATAAAATAAAGGTGCTATGACAATCAAAACTAAAAAAATGTTTTTTAAAAAAGTATACATAAAGAAACAACAGAAATGGTTTTGTCAAACTTAAATGTGGCATGTTCTACCTTAACTTCATTTTTTTTTTAACTTTCATTTGTATCTGTATTTAGTTTCAGTGGGTTAACTGCCTAATTTCCAGATGCTTCAAATCCTTCAAAACCTGAGAAATCTTTTAGGGATGGAAGGGAAGTAGTGCTGTCAAAGTTAGATTTCTCTGGCTTTTTCTACTCAAAATGGCATGACTACCTCATGGTTTATCCTAAAGATAGTGATGTGGACTCTTTGAAAGAGAAAATAAAGTTGAGATTATAAAGCACATATTCAGGGCATTAGGTTGTACTTGATACAGTCACTCTATTTAAGCTACCAAGGAGCACTTCCCAGGGGTTCAGCATGTTATTTTTACTTCCTTCAGTGTGAATTTGAGAGCAGAAGTTTGTGGTGTTTGACATGTTCTAAAGTGAAAGATTTTACTAGTCAACATCTTGAAGGCTCCCACATTCAAGAAAGTAGGTAAAAATTATCAAAGTTTAGGTAATGGACAGATTAGAGGTTTTTCTTTTCATTGAAACCAGAATACACCATCAAGTTTAATACAGACAAGTAATTTTGTCACTAGAGTTTTATGTCATTTTGATGATAGGAACCAAAATCTACTCACTGATGTTTTTGTAAATATGAAAGAAAAACAGAAACTATTTCCTCAGAAAAAAAGAGGATGGTAAAAAAAACTTTAAAACCTGTTGGTTTTGTGCTGTGCCTTAGACATCTGCTATTGGCATATTTTAAGATTTAAATATCTTTAGAATCTTCAGAATGATAATGGAGCTTATTGCACTATATTGTCCCCTTTAAAAAAAATCTTCAATTTGGAGTGTCTGTGTTTACTAAAAGACATGGAAGGAGTTTCTCATAATCTTATCCCACTTGTGCAAATTATTGCTATGAAGAAACACATAGGACTTTTGAATAAGAAGCTTAAAAGCTCAAAAACTCACAAATTCATACATGTTTTGTCTCTTCAACTTTCTTTTCACATTAGCAGTGTTTGAGGATGTATTTACACAGGCACTTTTCTCTTTCATAGTAAATAACCCACATGTTTAGAGTTATAGGTACCTTAAATATAATTACATTTATAACTATTTTCAGAACTTCTTTCTGTCCTTATTAATTTACTTGCACTGCATGTTATTCTTCTAATATATTCTTCAATTTGCTTTTGATTTTTAAAAATCATAATTGTATGTATTTGTTTTACAAAGTAAAAATAATACTTTGTTGCTTATAATAATATCTCCCTCATTTTTGTCTAACTCTAATTTCTATTTCTCTAAGACAAGCCCTTTCACCACTTTTGTTGTTTCTTCTTTTTTTCCACCTTTCCAGATTACATTCTAAAATTGTTGATTATTACTGTTCTTTTAGTATTTCTGCTGACTTCTTATCATTGATGATGTTGAATTAGCAAATAAACTACTACACATATCCGACCTCTTTGCATCCTTCCAATATACTTATCTTCAAGTTTACACTATTGTGCCTGAGGCACATAGTATATTATGACTTGTATTTTAATTTTTCATGACATGCTTTAGTTTTGAGCTTCACTTTTTCCTGTCCTGGGTGTTTTGTTTGATTATTTGTTTGTACACACATCACCAGTTCATTCCCATTTTTCTTGCTAAATTTATAAAATTCCTCCCAGTGTTGTTGCTATTATAAAATACATCATCACTTATTAATTATCTTCAGGTAATCTATACATCCATTTTTGAGTTTCCACCCATTGATCCAGTCTGTACTTTATTCTCTAGGTGTTTATCATCCTCAAGGTCCTCTCCTCTGTACATCTATGGTAGATGCCCTTTTTTTTTCTGGACTTCTATGTGTTCCTTTTTCTAGGTTTATTCCTTTAAATTGGTAGAGCACACCCTGGTAGCTTCCTGAAAGAGCTTCTGATTGAGGTACATTTTATTTAGAGTTTGCATTTTACCATTGTATTTAATCAACACTCTGGAAACATAATTCTAAGTTGAAAATTTTAATTTCTTTGCCTCAGAGTTTTGAAAACATTACCCAATTGTCTTCTAAATTTCTTTGTTGCCACTAAAAACTCAGTGTCTTCTGATTTTTTAATCATTTGGAGGTAATTATTTGGACTTTTCAAAATTTATGATCTTTTCTCTAGTATTTTAAATTTTAAAGAGAGAAGGGAGCACATATATTATAATTTAAGTACAGAAAAATGTATTTAATCTTCTAGAATGAGGACATGAAAGAATGATTATAAATTTGACCTAGCAGTGTGCTTTATACTGCAGTATTTGTGGAACTGAAAGGTTTTCCTATTAATTTTTGGCATGAACTCAATTTTTTATTGTTAAATAGGGGAATCAAGATGTAGTTAGAAACTGTCTGGGTTTACCTTACCAGATTTGTAGCCAAATTTTGCTCACTGGATAAGTAGCTGTGGACTTTGTCAATGAAGGTAAAAGGGTATTTGCTATCTTTGTTCTCTTATTACTACCTGTACACAGTGTGCAATGGTCAGATCAGGGAAAATAGTATATCCATGACTTTAAACTTATCGTTTCTTTGTGTTGTGCATGTTCAAAATCCTCTTTACTAGCTGTTTTGACATACATCTTTGTTAACCATAGTTACCTACAGTGCTATAGAACACTAATTATTTCTCCTGTCCAGTTGCACCCAAGTACCTATTAAATTCCTCATTCCATCTCCCTTCCCCAAGTTCTCCCCAGCCTCTGCTAATCACCTTCCTACTCTGTACTCCTATGAATTTGACGTTCTGGATTCTACTTGTTACAAATGACAGGGTTTGTCATTTTCCTTCTTTTTATGCCTCAGTAGTGTTCCTATGTGACTACATAGCACGTTTTTTTTTTTATCTCATCCTCTATTGACATACTCTTAGGTTGATTCAATATTTTGGCTATTGCAAATAATGCAACGATAAAGGTGGCAGTGCAGATGTCTCTCAAAACACTGATTTCCTTTCCTTTAGATACATACACAGTGGTGGAATTGCTAAATCATAGGGTAGTTCTATTTTTAATTTTTGACAAATCTCAATACTGCTTTCCATAATGACTAAATAATTTACAACTTTACCAACAGTATTTGAGAGAACCTTTTTTGCTACATCCTTGTGAACGTTTGTTATTCTTTTGTCTTTTTTTATAGTACTCAGGCTAACTGAGGTGAGATGGTACCTTATTTTGATACTGATTTGCATTTCCCTAATGATTGGTGATGTTGAACAGTTCCCCCCACTGCCATATACTTGTTGACTATTTGTTTTAAGAAATGCCTATGCAGGTCTTTTTTCCCATTTTTTAATTGGTTCATTTGTGTTCTTGCTGTGAAGTTGAGTTCCTTATGTATTTTTAGATATTAACCTTTTGTCATACGTATAGTTTGCAAATGTTTCCTCACATGCTGTAAGTTGTTTCATCACTGTTTTGGTTGTTTGCTCTTCTGTGTAGAAGCTTTTCAGTTTGATGTAATCCTATTTGTCTGTTTTTGCCTTTGTTGTCTGTACTTTTAAGATTTGTTAAACAAGCAAACATACAAAAAAACAAACTATTTGCCCAGCCCAATGTCATGAAGGTTTCCTGTTTTTGTCTAGTAGTTTGAAAGGTTTGAATCTTACATTTATCCATTTTGAATTGATTGTTGTATATGGTGAGAGATAGGGGCCTAATTTTATTCTTTTTTTTTCTGTGAATATTTAGTCAATTCTTGTTCTTTTGCATCATTTTTATGAAAGTCAACACTTTATTATTATCTGGTTTTATAAGAGTTTAAAGAAGATGAGCTTATAATAAACCGATAAATCCAGTTCTTCATTCTACTTGAACTTTTTCATTTTTCCTTCTTATTTTAAGATTTTTACTATCTTATATGTTCTTAAAATCCTGTAGGATTTTGTGTGTCCTTTAGATAGATATATTCTCTCCTTTGCAGAAGTTATACTTTAAGAAACTTGCATATCTCCTTTGCAGAAGTTATACTTTAAGAAACTTGCATAGCGAATTAGGGCTACTGAGAATTCCTTGGCTAAATAAATTGCTTATTCTTAGCCAGATTAGTCACTTATATCTAGTTACTTTCAGTTTTCTCAGATGAGATGAATAGAAAACTTTCCTTTTTTGAAGGAAAGTTAGAAGACTCATTTTCTTTTCAGTTTTTAAAAATTAGTTTGCCAACAACTGTCTGTATGAAGAATACAGTAGGAAAGATCTTGCCATTTACATCACTTTTTTCATCTGGCCCAACTTTCCAGGGAAAGAAAATATTTTGTTATTCAATCTAAGTAGACATTTCATCAAAGCTGACTTTCAGCTAAATTTAAAGAGTAGGTCCAAAATAGCTTCGTGTTTTTAAATAATCAAACTCTTAATGCCTATGCTGTCTAACACAAATAGTTTTATCTCTGTGTTGCAGAGAGCAAGTCTATCCTGTCTTACTTAACTCACTTGAACCTTTGCTCTTAATATTAAATTTCTTCAACCTCCTTTGCTTCTTTTCTTCCCTCTTTAAATTCTTTGCTCTGTGAAAATATCTTTCTGGCCTGGATTTAATTCCAAAGGGAAGAACATTTAAAGAACAAATAGCCCTTCCTTGACAAATGGGCTCTCCTTAGGTTAACTGATTAATTTACTTCACCTAGTCTTCCATCATTTTCCAGGACAGTCTCCGTAAGAAGGATGACAGGATTGAAGAGCTGGAAGAAGCACTGAGAGAAAGTGTACAGATAACTGCAGAGCGGGAAATGGTGCTGGCACAAGAGGAATCAGCCAGGACCAATGCTGAGAAACAGGTCTGCAATTTTATACAGTTACTAGCAATGCTGCTGGTTAAACACAAGGTAAAACCCAACCAGTGTAGTTTAGATAAACCTAAATATTATATCTTCAAAAACTCTTCATCAAGTGTAAGTATTTAGACAAAAATAATAAATGAAATATGGCTATGCATATTAATTCTTTAACTCATGTTAATGCAGAGATATCTGCTCCAATAATTTTAGGATTCATTTACATAATATAATTGAGTATATCTGGTGAGATGAAATGGAACTTGTCTCTGCTATAAGACTAGACACAACCTGGCTTTTAAATGGAATGAGAAAACACAAGTGTTTCTGACTCAAAGATGTTAATAGCAAATAGTTTATTTTAAACCTTGCTGTGTTCAAAAGAGGAAGTAAGACATAACAAGGGCTGTGGTTGTGGCTCAATGGTAAAGCACTTGCCTAGTGCTTATGAGACACTGGGTGTGATCCTCAGTACCACATAAAAATAAACAAATAAAATAAAGGTATTGTGTCCATTTACAACTAAAAATATATTTTTAAAAAATATTATAACAAATTAATGTTGGTAGAAAATATGCAAGACTTAGATATTGTGGTCCTCAAGTCCCATATCAGCAAGCATGTCTAAACCTTGAGAGGACTTGAGGAATTCTTCTGTTGCTGTTTGTGGCATTTGTTTTGTATATTTTCTACTTTTTTCTTTTAGACCCCTGAACCTTTGCTTTTGACCTTTTATTGGAAACAATAACTAATGATTGGAGTCATGAGTGAAAGAAAGAGTTTTAACAATTAAGATTGTAATCTCAGTTTCCATTCTGAGACTATAATTTGTGGTTTTGAATCTTTTTTGAATCTACCTAATACAGAGATTGATGACATTTCGTTTTTGTACTAATTGTTTTCTTTCTATTTCCTTGTGAAAGAACAAATGTCATTCAGTTAAAAAGAGTTGAACTAGAGGATGACAGGATCTGTTGGGGAACCCCTTCCATCAGACCAGTGCTGTTATGGAGTTAAGGTAGTTGGGTAGTAAAGAAGGGTTTGTTGCAAGGCAGACATAGTGTAGTGGGTGTCCCTTGGGGTCCTTTCATAGCCATGTCAGCTGCAAGGATATGGCTTCTTCAGTTCCAAATGTAAAATAAAAGACCAACTGATATTTCTTAACAAAGATGAGGGAAAATGGATCTTTTTGCAGAATGAGTATCTTTCGGTGCTCTTTCGTAGATAAATATCTTGGAACACTTTCATAATGCACAAGTAAATCTTGAGTAGTGGAAGGCTTCAGAGAAAGGATGACCACAGCCATTGTCCATTGTCCAGGGTGTTAGGGATTTTGATTTTACTCTTTTTGTATTTTCTTCTTTATTTTTAACTCCTGTCCTGCAACATACACATGTTTTCTATAAAGATTTCCTTCTGTTCTGGTCTTGGGTGTTTAGTGACAAGTCATAAACATCAGAGATTCTGTGGAAGTTTTGGCAACTGACAATAGATTTTATCATTATTATACATCAACTTTTGTGTTTTTCTTTTTAAAATATTATGTGAGCTGATTATAATGTGCTTTCTTGAAGTATGTTTTATTAACTTGTTTAAATTTAGACTTTATCCTTAAAGCAGTTTTTAAATCTGCAGAAAAATTGCACAGGAAATAGTTTTCACTTAATTTTTTCTCCACCTGTTATTAATGTCTTGCCTTAGTGTGATACTTGTGGTAAAATCAATGAACTAGTATTGATACAGTATTATTAATGAGTTCACAGTCTACATTGATTCACCCTTTATGATATACAGTTCCATGGATTTTTCCAAATGTATAAGGCCATGTATCTTTTATTATAGTATTGCACAGTGTCTTCACTGCCCTAAAAATCTCCTGTGCTGTACTTTTTCATTCTTCTGCCATCTTTTTACTCTCTCAACAGTTTTGCCATTTTCTTTACTGGAAATTGGAACCATATAGCATACTGCCTCTTCACATTAGCTTCTTTCACTTAGCCTTTGCGTTTAAGGTTCCTCCCCATCTTTTCATGACTTAATAACTCATTTCATCTTTGAATTATAGTCTATTGTATTGGGTTTTCCAGTTTGTTACCCCTTCACCTATTGAAGAATATCTCGTTTGTTCCAACTTTTCACAATTATGGATAAACCTACTGCAAACTTCATGTGCAGGTGTTTGTGAGAACATGAACTTTCAGCTTATCTGGGTAAATATCTAAGAGTATGGTTTCTGCATTGCACGGTAAAGTCATAGGGTAAGATAGTTAGCTTTGTAAGAAACTGCCAAACTATCTTCCAAAGTGGCTATATAAAATTTGCCTTTAATTGCATGCTTTTTTCCTTCTCTTTCCTGTTCATCTTGTTTTCCACCATTCTGCTACTTACTGCCTTTCTGAAGCTGTTGAGTGAAATATTGCATGAGACCAGTCATTTGGGCTTTAAGTGGTTCAAGGTATGAAGAAATTGCTTGTATGTTTGTTCTAATGAAGCCTTAAAACCTTCACCCACTGTTCCCTCCTCCCCCTCTTCTGTTCTTATTCTTATCCTTTTCTGTCTTCTAACTGCACTGTTAATTTTACTTACCTGTGTTAATTGTGTGCACTATCACCTATAGATAATTTTTTAAATGCTTTAAATGGATGAAGTTTTTTGGCTAAAGACATTATTCTGATTATCTTTCTTAGGTTATAAAATTATTTCTTAAATTTAGCCTCCTGAGGTGAAATGAATCCTACTAATAGAAACAGGATATCTTCATCTCTTGATTCCTAAAAGTAAAATTTAATGGGAACCATGGCTCATGTTTAAAAAGACATAGAGCTGGCCTATTGCCACACACCTTTAATCTCAGTTACTCAAGTAGGCTGAGGCAGGAGGATTGCAAGCTTGAGGCCAGCCAGGGCAATTTAATGAGATCCTCTCTCTAAATAAAATAAAAAATGGGGTCGAGCTTGTGTTCAGTGCCATAGTTCTTATCTAGCACCTGCGAGTCCCTGGGTTCAATCTCTAGTACCTCAAAATAATATAATAAAAAAGAGAACTGTCTCAAGTTTGAAGAGGGAAAAAAATCCCAAAGAGAAGCTCTTTTTTTAAAAAAGATTTTCCTATATTCTTACAGAATCTCCATGCATTTTTATTATTATTCATAATACACTTATACATTGCTTAACCTAGGGGACGTGTTCTGCGTTCTGAGAAATGTATCATTAGGCAATTTCATCATTGTGTCTACATCATAAATTGTACTTACACAGACCTAAATGGTGTAGGTCAGTCACTTTGCGGTGCTCTCTTGATATATTCAAGAGATGGGTTAAGCATGGTCTGTGTGAGTTTGCTGCCCACATAACATGGCATAATGCTTTTCAGCAAACTTTCTTTAATTAGTAGGAGTAAACTTTAAAAACAACAACAAAAAGTACACTATAGCAAAAAAAACAGTAATATGATCCTTTATTATCATATCAGATATCACATACTGTACATAATTGTGTTGCTATGCTCTTATATGACAGAAATACAGTAGGTTTATATCAGCATTATCACAAACATGGAAGTATGCCTCGCAGTGTTTTTCAGCTTATTGTAATCATAGTTTATAAGTGGTTTGTTCTTGAATGAGGCACCATTATGCCAAAATTTAAAATTCCAAATGCCAGAAATTCAAAGACATTGTGTAGTCAAAGTAGATGCCCACCTACCAGTGGTGGCAAATTGAAAGATTTAAGTAAAAAAAACCCAGGGGAAAACCTAAGGACTCTTTTCTTTTGTTTTATCCTTTTCCACATCTGGTGAGTTTTGTTGAATGTGAGAGTCTGTTTACTTAAAATTTGGACAAACAGGTTCTAAAGAAGTCTCAGAATGGCCAGGAATAAATATCCTGTAATATCCTTAGTTCAGCCATGCTTGTGTGAACTTAAAAAAATTTTAAGTATTTTCAGTGATATTCTTTGTGGTTAAATTTATTTTTTATTTTTTGTTATCTAAGAGTTTTTAAAAATGCCAGTAAAGTAAGAAGACTTTTTTTTATAGTTCATTAAACTGATTTTATGAACTCTTTTACTCTTATCCAGTAACCTAAAGGTATATTCTATCAAAATAACTGACATTTACACATAAGTTCTGATTTTTGTTTTAAAACTCAATTTTTAATAGTGATACTCATTTTTTCAAGTGGTCTTTTGGAAGAAGGAGGCCTGGGTATTAAACCTGGGACCTCATACATGCTAGGCAAGAACTCTTATTCCTGAGTTACATCTGCCCCAGCCCTTTGTATTTAATTTTTTAAAAAATATTTTTTTTTAGTTGTTGATAGACCTTTATTTTATTTATTTGTATAGGGTGCTGAGAATCAAACCCAGTACCTCACACATGCCAGGCTTGTGCACTACCACTGAGCCCCAGCCCCTACATTTAATTTTGAAACAATCTCTCACTGAACTGCTCAGACTGACCTCAAATCTGCTATTCTCCTGCCTTAGCTTCCCAGGCAGTTGGGATTACAGGTGGGCACCACCACCCAGCTTCGAATGGACATTTTGACATTATTTGTAATTTTAAGATTAGTATAAATTCTTCACTTTCAAAATCATAAGATATTATCTGTTAAGTATAAATTTTTCACCTTCAAGAACTTACAATTTTCTCTATGGTTTACTAGATAATTACAGTCTGCCCTCTATCTCTGTGAGCTTCACATCTGCAGCTTCAACAAACTGTGATTTGAAAATAATTTTTTAAAAAATGTGACAGTATCAAACATGTATACTCTTCTCAGTTTTCCCAAAACAACACAGTATAAAAATTGTTTATATGGCAGGTGTGACTTGGGTACTGTAATTAATGTAGAGAAGATTTAAAGTACACAGGGGGATGTGAGTAAGTCATGTGCAGATACCCATGTTATAGAAGGGACTTGAACAGCCACAGATTTTGGTGTTCACAGGGATCCCGAAACCACTCCCATATGGATAGTTTTCTATTTGGTATAAATTGACTGG